ATATCTTCTTCACACATAATTTCTCAATATATAAAAAGAAATCTATTGAAATCTTTGTTGTAGGTCGTACCTGAAACTAAGTTTCTAGAAAAGAAAAAGAAAAAGATGATTAAGTCTCTCGCATCGAATCACATAGTCCATACATAATTGTTTGTTCAATTTTAATAAATAATCCAATTGAGTATATTTCGCATAGACTCTGTGAGAAAGGGTATNAATCCAATTGAGTATATTTCGCATAGACTCTGTGAGAAAGGGTATAAAAAAATCCTAAAAATAAATATTGAGATAAGTTTAATTATTAACGGGGTGGATATAGAATGAGGTGAACTTAGTTACTAGCGGAGTGGGTATAGATGGGCTGAACTTAGTATCTATATGATTTATAGTTTAGTGAAAATTAGATTGAGTCTCTCTAGATGTATTTGTTTAAAGATAAGTCCGTTAAGGAAACTTATAAGGGTTAAATCCATGTTTAAAATTATGTGTAATGACTTAAGTCCACTTTTTTTTTATCTCAAAAATACCCCTAACAGTGTTAAATTTGGTCAATTATGAAAAGTTATATGTTAGATCTTTAAAATATATATGGTAACAAATTCTTCAGCTTTTTATAGAAACCAAATATATCATAATTTGATGCTTGAATTACGATAAAATCATTGGTCTATNGGTAACAAATTCTTCAGCTTTTTATGGAAACCAAATATATCATAATTTGATGCTTGAATTACGATAAAATCATTGGTCTATTAAGTCAATTTTAGATCAAAAAATTCCATTAACAATTCAAATTTAAAATCTGAATCAAGGAAAATTCGTTGATGCTTATACTATCCAATAACAGGCTTTTGTGTTTTGAAGAGTGTTTGGAAGGTGATTTCAAGCAGCATTGCCCTCCATCAAAGGTATCGGTGGTCGTTTCACCAACATTGTCTACAAGAAAGCCGATGTCGACATGAACAAGAGGGCTGGCGAACTTTCTGCTGCTAAGATTGATAACCTGATGGTGATTGTTTCAAACCCTCGGCAGTTCAAAATCCATCACTGGTTCCTGAATAGGAAAAAGGATTATAAGGATGGAAAGTATTCTCTGGTGACATCCAATGCACTGGACATGAAACTGAGGGATGATCTTGAGCGATTGAAGAAGATCAGGAACCACCGTGGTCTTCGTCACTATTGGGGTCTTCGAGTGCGTGGATAGCACATTTTTATTGAAATTCAATATTACTTACTGGTATTCGTATCGCGATGTTCTTTACCGGAGTTTTTTTTTATTTTGTTTTTAAAATTAGGTTCTAAGTGNATATTACTTACTGGTATTCGTATCGCGATGTTCTTTACCGGAGTTTTTTTTTATTTTGTTTTTAAAATTAGGTTCTAAGTGTATTTTCCATGTTATTGTTCCTACTTTATTGGAATTAGTATTGATTTGTTAAATTGAATGTTTCATGTTACTATTTTTTTTTACTATGTTACTGTTCATGTTATTATTTTTGTTGAGTATCTTATTGTTCATGTTACTATTATTTTGAGCATGTTACTGTTTTTGTTAAATGTATTACTACTATTATTTTCCTAAATATTAATATTCAATGTTATAATTTTTTTTGTTTTTGAATATTATTATTTTTGTATTTGAATTTGAGAAAGATAATTATTATTAAACATGTTATTGTTTTTGTTAAACATGTTACTATTTTTGTTGAACATGTTACTATTGATATTTTTTAAAAATATTAATATTGAATGCTAATATTTTTTTATGTTTAAATGTTACTTTTTTTTTTGTGTTTAAATGGTATTATTTTTTGTCTAAATGATAATTTTTTTTTTTTTTGGTATTTGAATGTTGTTATTTTTACATGGATATTGATAGATATGCGTGAGAAAAAATTTTAATGTTAGTCAAACTCCTAAGATTTATGAGTTTTTAATTTTTAATTTTACTTNTAAAAAAATCCTAAAAATAAATATTGAGATAAGTTTAATTATTAACGGGGTGGATATAGAATGAGGTGAACTTAGTTACTAGCGGAGTGGGTATAGATGGGCTGAACTTAGTATCTATATGATTTATAGTTTAGTGAAAATTAGATTGAGTCTCTCTAGATGTATTTGTTTAAAGATAAGTCCGTTAAGGAAACTTATAAGGGTTAAATCCATGTTTAAAATTATGTGTAATGACTTAAGTCCACTTTTTTTTTATCTCAAAAATACCCCTAACAGTGTTAAATTTGGTCAATTATGAAAAGTTATATGTTAGATCTTTAAAATATATATGGTAACAAATTCTTCAGCTTTTTATAGAAACCAAATATATCATAATTTGATGCTTGAATTACGATAAAATCATTGGTCTATTAAGTCAATTTTAGATCAAAAAATTCCATTAACAATTCAAATTTAAAATCTGAATCAAGGAAAATTCGTTGATGCTTATACTATCCAATAACAGGCTTTTGTGTTTTGAAGAGAGTTTGGAAGGTGATTTCAAGCAGCATTGCCCTCCATCAAAGGTATCGGTGGTCGTTTCACCAACATTGTCTACAAGAAAGCCGATGTCGACATGAACAAGAGGGCTGGCGAACTTTCTGCTGCTAAGATTGATAACCTGATGGTGATTGTTTCAAACCCTCGGCAGTTCAAAATCCATCACTGGTTCCTGAATAGGAAAAAGGATTATAAGGATGGAAAGTATTCTCTGGTGACATCCAATGCACTGGACATGAAACTGAGGGATGATCTTGAGCGATTGAAGAAGATCAGGAACCACCGTGGTCTTCGTCACTATTGGGGTCTTCGAGTGCGTGGATAGCACATTTTTATTGAAATTCAATATTACTTACCGGTATTCGTATCGCGACATTCTTTACCAGAGTTTTTTTTTATTTTGTTTTTGAAATTAGGTTATAAGTTTATTTTCCATGTTATTGTTCCTACTTTATTGGAATTAGTATTGATTTGTTAAATTGAATGTTTCATGTTACTATTTTTTTTTATTATGTTATTGTTCATGTTATTATTTTTGTTGAGTATCTTATTGTTCATGTTACTATTATTTTGAGCATCTTACTGTTTTTGTTAAATGTATTACTACTATTATTTTCCTAAATATTAATATTCAATGTTATAATTTTTTTTGTTTTTGAATATTATTATTTGTATTTGAATTTGAGAAAGATAATTATTATTAAACATGTTATTGTTTTTGTTAAGCATGTTACTATGTTTGTTGAACATGTTACTATTGATATTTTTTAAAAATATTAATATTGAATGCTAATATTTTTTTATGTTTAAATGTTACTTTTTTTTTGTGTTTAAATGGTATTATTTTTTGTCTAAATGATAATTTTTTTTTTTTTGGTATTTGAATGTTGCTATTTTTTATTTTTAATGTTACTATATATAATTTATATATGGATATTGATAGATATGAAAGAGTAATTTATACATGGATATTGATAGATATGCGAGAGAAAAAATTTTAATGTTAGTCAAACTCCTAAGATTTATGAGTTTTTAATTTTTAATTTTACTTTATTTCTAAAAAAAAAGGATAGTCTGGTAAAATTGACAAAAAACAGACTTCATAACAAATAAGTTTTCTTGGCGGACTTAAGTCCAAACAAGTCCATATAGGAGGACCGGCCTCCAAATTTTCCTATAGTTTAATGGGGCAGAAAAAGGAATTTATGAGGTGAAAATAACCCTACCCTATATTAATTCAACTCGTAATGCTCGTGAAGAGATTCAGTCCATGTTTGAAGACACGAGCATTTATATGCAAATCTATACTACTTTAAAATGTCAATAAAAGTGAAAAATTTTATTTGACTATTTTTCCCTTAATCTTTGTTATAAAATCAATCATATTCTCTTATTTCTTTTTGTTTTCTTCAATTAATTACATAATCTTCTCATATCCTTTCATCTTAAATTAATTATGTGCATTAATTTAACATTTAATTATATTCATTTGACCTTTAATAATAATTTTAACCTTTAATTTTCATTTTTCTTGACCAATCTTATCTTATCTATACTACTAATATATTATATAATCTATATCTATATCTATACTACTCTTAAAAGTCCCTTAAACCCAAAAAATAATAATTTAATTAATCCTCCATCTATGCTATAATCACCATAAAACCAATTTGTATCTATATATATACCTATATCTTAAGTTGTTTAGTCGCTTCCAATTCTTATTAAATTTATCTGTCATCATAATTATTATAACTTAATGGCAATAAGTATCGATTAATTATTGAGTTTTTCATATTCTTATTCTTTCACAAACACAGTGTTATGCAGTGAATACATGTTGAAAGAATTCAAGCCATCATATTCCATACCTCAATCGAATTGTTTCCCCTTTCCTATCTTCCTTTCTTTCTCTACCTCTGACTCTCATTCTCACGGTTTGCCTGCATTGCTAAATAAGGGAAAAACCTAGAAATTCTTACCTACGACAATGAATCACTATCACTTACGAAGCAATGAGTCACGTTTATCAGTCTGCAACAAATGAGATCGAACCAAAAAGAATCAAACACCAGACTCATCTGGGCTATAATGCTACAGGTTTGTGTGTCTCATTCGATGTATGCTATTGATTTTCTTTTTTAAAATGTTCTTTAGTTGCTTTTTTTCTTTCCAAGTGGCTTTCTTGTGTTGGAGTTTGATTTTGATGAAGGACTTTGCCATGGTTATCTATCTTTGACTGGGGTTTTGAATAGATTGTTTTGGATAGTACTTAATTTTTGTTTTAACAATTTGGGTCTCTTGACCAAAAAAATAATAATAATTTGGGTCCAAGCAATCAATTTTCCTTTAACTTGTTTGTCTCTTTTATCATTTTAGTTTTTGATTTTTTTGAAAAATTTTTATTGAGCTTGGTGTTTGATTTAACAATTTTTTTGAGATTGTGGAATTAAGATTCGATAGAAATTCTTGTTTTTAGATGTGAGTTTTTGGTCTTGTGAATTATTGTTGACCTTATATGTAATTAATACTTCAGCCAATACACTGCAAAGGAAAAAAAATTTGTAATTTCCCTTTCAATTTCAAAAATTAGATTCATATTAAGGAAATCATGGTAAAGATGACATTAAGACCACCCAAGTTTTAGACCTTATAGCCAAGTTAAATTAATAACATTAGCGAGATTTTTTCATCTCGATGGTATGGGTTTTACTATTTCTTGTGCTATTCTACCAAAATTTTCATTACTTGCGCAAGACAATATGAAAGTAAGTGAAGGTTGAGATAGGATGAGAGCTGATCCAAACTCGGAAAGATCAACCAGAATTAGATTTAGTAAAGATGTGTTAATTCATATCAAGCATGTTTTTTTTTGAAGTGAATATAAAAGATTTGTGTTTGTAAAAATAATTCAACTATCACATAGTAATTTCTTAATAAGCAATTGCAACAAGCTACATGAGCAAAAGTCCCACAAGGTAAAGGTAGAGGTGGTACAAGACTGATGTGATGGAGGTGGTTGGCAAATGATAGAATTTCACATCACCTGATGGTTCCTTTGCCGTGAATGGTGGCACTTGGAAAAATCTCAAGATTGGATAATTTGGTCCGTGGATGAATGGAACATTAGTCTTTTAAGTATAAAAGAGTGAAGAACGTGATTGACGACATCTTTTATATTATTGCGCATTGCTAGAATTGTGGCTTTCATTTTTGATTCTTTTTAAAGTGCAGTTGTGTTTTTTACGGTTAATGTTAGAGTGGTGGTAAAAAATGGGCAGGAGTGAGTCATTGAAAGCAGTACCACAAAAGAAATATTATTCCTATTCATTTTTGGGGGAAATATGGAGCATCCAGTCTTAGTTGCAGGATATGCTATTGAGTTATTTGTTCCATTTGAAATCATGACAGACTTTATCTCCATCAACTTTGTTTGTTTTATTTATAAACAGTTATATATATATATATCCCTTTTTTTTGTTCTCTACCACTTCCTTTATTTTTTTGTCATTATACTATCCTTGTTGGACTCCTATTTGGATTATACCCCCCTTGGAGCTTCCATCCCACTGTTTGCATGAGTAGGTATAAACTTTCTTCTTGCTACGTATATATCTTTTAATTTGAAGATTTGGACATATGAGGATTTCACGAGATCTTTCTATTGTTTTCAGAAAGGGTGACATTTTTCTCAATGACTATTTGGTGATTCAAATGTTATAATTTAAGATGTTTGAGTATTGCTTGTGGTGATTTTTGTTTCTTTATCAAAGTAAAATTAAATTTGTAGCTGAATTTTTTATGGTTTGTATGCCTTTTCATGACAGGTGAAGTTGGAGGAGTTTTAAGGCAGCTTAATAGAAGCTGATTCTTATAATGTAATAGGATGAGTGAAAAATAGTCTATTTTGATCATGTGACTATTTCAATCCCGTGACTCTTTTGAATTTTTGAAATGCATGTTTTCATATGACTGTTGCTTGGACTCCTACTTGGTAGCAGTGTTTTGACATTAAACATTGTCACAAGAGATGATAGCAATTGAGCAAAATACTGGGAAGTATATGAATACAAAGTAATATTATCATGTTATAATACAATAGTTCCAATATTATCTATAATTTTCTTAAATTATCTTAACATATACTTTTAGACAGTTAAATTGACATATGCTACTGAATTTCTTGAATATTTTTTGGCTTGAGACATGAACATCTCACAAACATACTAACATCTTTACCTTTCTTGCATAATAGGTATCAAGAACAGGTGATGATGCAATTCTTTTGGAGCAACAAGAAGAAGACACATATGACACTGTCCTTCAAACAAACGGTCACTCTATGAGATCTTTGAATAACATGTCAAGAGCAGGGGGGTGACCTACATAGAATACAAGCATGGTTAATTGCCTTTTCTTAGCATAATAGAATATTTATTTGAATGTTCTATTTAATGAATGATATAGCGAACTTTATGTTTCTGGATCCTTTATTTTTTTTCTTTTCTAAAAGATTTTCCCATCCATTATGGTGTGTTTTTATTACAGTTTATAGCTAGCTTGTATAGAGCTATAGAGTAAAAGTCACACTTCTTGCTACAGTATTTAGTTTGTCCGCATGGAATTTAGAGTTGAATACTAAAGTTCCATCATTTCTTCATTTTTTTTTTCATTTTACATAGGAATCTGGTTATTGAGACCTGAATTCGTCTTAAGAGTTCAAAAGTTTTAAAGTTAGAAAATGTGAAAAGTGTAAATGTGGTTCAAAAAAATTGCACTTCGAACAATAAGTGAGCAAGTTTGTCGAAGTTTTTAGAAGTTATGTCTGAATATAAATGGGTTAGTTAACTGAAATTAATGAGCGCATTTTTAATGAGAAACACTATATGATGATACAATTCAATGAACATTTATAGTATGTTAATGTTAATGGAGGATTTCTTAGTGTCAAATGTAGTGACCATATTGGAGATTTATATAGTTAATCTTTGAAAATATTGAGTGGACAAAGGGGGTGTTGTCTTCATAACTTGACTGCAACACCCTACTTCGCATGAAGTTAAGTCATATGCGATTGGATAAATCCAATTGACATATATTATGTGTTAGACAGTTGTTAATTAAGTTTTTTCTTGATTTGCTACCATAGTTCATATTGGAAACTACCCTAACTATAATTTACGTTCTTCCTTTATCTTTCAAAGAAGCATATTAGACAAATATTTAAAAAATAAGAATAGAAACAGAGAAATGCATTATTTTTCACTACATATTCTATCAAATATTAGTTTAGGCTGTATTTTTTTGGGGGGTTGGGGGGGT